CATATATGAAAATAGAAAACAGCTGTTTTAAATTATAATAATATTTCATAATATTGATGTTTTTACTGTATTTTTAATCAAATAAATGCAAATCTCCTGTCTGTGTGCAGGAGAGCCCATTAACCCAGAGGTGATGTGGAAATGGAAAGAACTCACTGGACTGGACATCTATGAGGGATATGGACAGACTGAGACTGTAAATTAACATTTAAAGGAATAGTTCACCAAAAAATGAAAATTAGCTCAAAATGTACTCACCCTTAGGCCATCCAAGATGTAGAAGAGTTTGTTTCTTCATCAGATTTGGAGAAATTTAGCATTACATCACTTGCACACCAATGGATCCTCTGCAGTGAATGGGTGCTGTCAGAATGAGAGTCCAAACAGCTGATAAAAACATCACAATAATCCACAAGCAATCCACACAACTTGATCAAAAAACAGCTTTTCACTTCACAAGATGGCCTGGAGTCATGTTGTGGATTATTGTGATGTTTTTATCAGCTGTTTGGACTCTCATTCTGACGGCACCCAATCACTAGAGAGGATCTATTGGTGTGCAAGTGATGTAATTCTACATTTCTCCAAAGAAACAACCTTGGATGGCCTGAGAGGGAGTACATTTGAAGCAAATGTTCATGTTTGCATTAACTATTCCTTTAATCAGCTAGAAACTCCTATCTTGAATCAGTTTTTATAGGATCATCATAGACATGAGTGAAAATGCCTGGGTCCTAAATTAGCATCTGTTTTCATCTATTATATGGTCACAGATTCGTTAACAAAATCCTTCATAATGAACAGAAGGAGAATAAATTTACGCTTAGCCTTGTGTGCTGTCACACATAGCAGGCACATTCAAAGGCGTGAAGATCAAACCAGGATCTTTTGGAAAGGCATCACCAGGATATGATGTTCAGGTGCAGTAACAGTCTGTCCCGGGTTTAAACTAGATATAATAATAGATTATCCTTGTACTTACTGGCGTCCTATTAATAATAACTAATATATGGACTGAGATAATAATACTAATAATAATACTGATAATAATTATATAAAAATTAAAAGTTGTAAAAATTTCAGAAAAGCAATTGAGGTAATAGATTTTTTCTTTCTTCTGATGGATTGGCTTGTTTTCCTATGAGGTGAACTGTGGACTATTTTGGTTTTAAGGTGGTAGATGAAGATGGTTCTGTTGTGCCACATGGACAAGAAGGAGACCTCGGCATCAGAGTGAAACCAGACAGACCCTTCTCTCTTTTTACAGAGTATACGGTACATTTATATGTTCTCATGTTATTAGAGTCTGTACTAAAGATAAAGCTCTTGAGCTTGAGTTGCACTAACTAAACTTATTGATCTAAATTCATCCTGTAGGGGGAGCCAGAGCGCATGGCAGAATGTTTCTGTGGTGAGTTCTACCTGACCAGTGACTGGGGAATGATGGACAATGAAGGATACCTGTGGTTCATTGGCAGAGCTTATGATGTCATCCTGTCCGCAGGGTAGGGAATTCTGCTCATCATAACGATGATGTCAAATTTTGAAATCTCATGTTGTGTCTGTGTGTTTTAGGTACCGCATTGGTCCATTTGAGGTGGAAAATGCTTTAATAGAGCATCCAGCTGTAGCAGAATCTGCTGTGGTCAGCAGCCCTGATCCGGTTCGAGGAGATGTAGCGCAATGCTTTCTGGGATTGCCTTCTGCATGAAGGATACATGCAGTGTGATCTTAGAATTAGGCGAAAATGACAAAACTTAGAAGGTAGTACCATAATTAGCAGCAGAGCGCATATGATGCATTAAAATGGTGTGTAAGTATGCAGCGCAAAAGATTTTGTTTATGTAAAATTGTAACCATGATTATCATATGTATGGAATACAAAACTGTGTAACTGTAAAATGTTTTTAAATTGTGCTGCTCCATGTTTCAGGTGGTGAAGGCTTTTGTAGTGCTGACAGTCAAGAGACCATAAGGAACTGATCCAGGAACTGCAAACACATGTGAAGACTTTCACGGCTCCTTATAAATATCCACGCAAGGTAACTTACCATTAGAATTCAGTGCTTCTGCATTTAATACTTCACTGAAGACCTTTTCAATTTAGTCCAGATTAAAAGGAATATTTTGTTCCAGCTTTCAAATGTTTCACTTTAATTTTTTTGTCAGATTGAGTTTGTTGATCATCTGCCCAAGACGGTTAGCGGGAAAATCAGGCGAGTGGAGTTAAGAAAGAAGGAATGAGGACAACAATCAAGCTAAAACTGGAAAACTGAAGCATTCCACCTCTTTATATGCTAGGTTCCCAGATATCAGAATCAGAAAGAGCTTTATTGCCAAGTATGTTTGCACATACAAGGAATTTGTTATAGTGTCACAAGCTTCCAGTACACGGAGACAACAACAACACACAGATAATAAAAATAAGATGTGAATAAAATACACATGCATAAATATAAACCACAAAAAAAGAATAAATTGTATGTACAGGTGTGCTATAGATAGGAGTAGAATAAAATAAAATAAAGTTGTAGGGATGTACTAGGAGGGTAGGTGGGGGGGCACCAATAATCCTTTCAGCAGTCCGAACCGTTCTCTGTAGTCTTCTGATGTCTGATTTTGTAGCTGAACCAAACCAGAGTTATTGAAGTGCACAGAACAGACTCGATGACGGCTGAGTAGAACTGCTTCAGCACTTATCTTCTGTGCTATCTTCCCACTTTAATGCATCACATTTAAGACTGATGAATGGATCTACAGACCTGTAGTCCTTCAGCTCGCCTGAAGGTGGAGGCATTTCATAACAATTTGCAGAACTCATTTCCAATTTCATGCAATATATATTTTAGTAAGTTTAAATGATTCTACCTCATGTTTAATCATGTTTAAGTGGAGTAACTCAAAATGTATAAGCCTTGCAGTTCAAATGTTTTAATTCCTTTATTTGTAAATTGTAGATCATATTCTGCATATGCAAAACCTAAATGTGAATAATTTATTAACAATATTGTAAGCATTTATATCATTAAAAGCCTCTTGTTTTGAGTTAATTAATTATGTATACAGTTCTTGGAGGGTAGGTGGGGGGGCACCAATAATCCTTTCAGCAGTCCGAACCGTTCTCTGTAGTCTTCTGATGTCTGATTTTGTAGCTGAACCAAACCAGAGTTATTGAAGTGCACAGAACAGACTCGATGACGGCTGAGTAGAACTGCTTCAGCACTTATCTTCTGTGCTATCTTCCCACTTTAATGCATCACATTTAAGACTGATGAATGGATCTACAGACCTGTAGTCCTTCAGCTCGCCTGAAGGTGGAGGCATTTCATAACAATTTGCAGAACTCATTTCCAATTTCATGCAATATATATTTTAGTAAGTTTAAATGATTCTACCTCATGTTTAATCATGTTTAAGTGGAGTAACTCAAAATGTATAAGCCTTGCAGTTCAAATGTTTTAATTCCTTTATTTGTAAATTGTAGATCATATTCTGCATATGCAAAACCGAAATGTGAATAATTTATTAACAATATTGTAAGCATTTATATCATTAAAAGCCTCTTGTTTTGAGTTAATTAAAGCATTTTTGGTGACATTTTGTTAGCTAAAACTTGTTTATCTCTTCCAAACACAGAGTGATCCTTTTTCCACAAGAGCGTGATGTCATGTGACTGATGACAGATGGCAGACACAAATCTGATCTCTGCTGAATGATGAGAGGATTGTGAGGTTATAACGATTTCTGAAATTGTGGAAATGTTACCCTACAGAAAGGAATGCAGTGACTTTTCAGATGACAAATCTGTTAGTAAATTAGTCTTGACCACTAATGAAGAAAAACAGCATAACAACAGCAAACCTGTAGCTTGTCAAAAATAATGATAATAGTAACGCAGCAAGTTTTGAAAAATGAAAGGCTACATTTTTCAAACTGCTAAAAATTTTAACCAAGCTGTAAATTTCCCCACACTGGTTATTCTAGGACCATAGATGGAGAAATGTAGTGGTGCAGCACACTCACTGACTGCAGTAATGAGAGACAGGTGATGCTTAATTTACCTGTTAATGGGACTTATGCTTATCAGGTGGAAAAACGGAGCCATAGACTTTATAGCTGAAATATCAAGCCAAAATATGCCTGGCCTCAACATATTCAGACTTTAAATCAGACTTTAGATGTTTGTTATGACAGCCTGAAAACAGCAGCTTGTTTGTGTATGCAGAGATGTGTTTGTGGATGAATTTGTTGGTTTTGGTTTGCAGCAATTGATAAGAATGGTTCAAATGGCAAACTGGCTGTCAAAACCTGTGATCCGCTTACCTGTCCTTATAAAAAAGTACTATGGCTATAATATGGATGGTACTAGATACCATAGTACTGTGTGATATACTGTGAATTCCAAGTATGTGACTACTAATAAATACCATAAAGAACATGATATATATGAGAACATTCCTTTGTATTAATACAGTACATTTTGCCCTGTTTTTAAAACTTGAATGCCTTAGTACTTTGGTATGTCATTTGAGTTTTACATGGTTGTAAAATATATGGGGAAAAAATACTTTTTTTTTAGATTTTAAAAACTGGTAACAGTTTTAATCATATTTTTGACAACAGCTCATGGTGCTGTGATGTGACAAATTGTTAAAACCATACATACTCCATATAGCCTCTAAATTGATCATGCATAAAAATAGTTTTAGATGGAGTACAGAATATCCTAGTGAATGTCAAATTCGTCAAGTATTTTACGTCGACTACAAGTTTACATGGTACTTCAGAAAAGACCTTAGTTTTACCATTGCATATGTCAAAAAGTGTAGTACCTTGGTGTTTCAGTTAGTGTAGACAGCATCTGAGTCAGCTGTAAGCGCCTGTGATGCCCAGAAATGCTGTCTAGGTAGGAAGTGCACTTGGTTTTGATTAAAAGAGGATTTTTAGGGCATTAAGTTCAGCTCTGTCGGGGAAACAGCCGTGAGGTGGATGCGGGTCACCGACTCGGATGTTTATGGATTATTATTTTTCTGCATTAAATGCAAATCACGCGAGATGAATGTGCAATGACAGTGTCCCGACACCGAGCCGTCTCGCGCAGTTCTAGAGGAACGGACACGCGTTCACATTCCTTCATGTAGCCTAATCGAGCACTTCATCGCGTTTTTACTGTGTTTTCTTTCTTTTTGGTTTGGTTTATTTCATAGCAATGGCTTGGCCGTGCATCAGCAGAGTCTGCTGCTTGGCTCGGTTCTGGAACCAGTTCGATAAATCGGATTTGTCGGTTCCGCTAACGATTCAGAACTACTCTGACATCGGGGAGCAGGAGGTGCGATCCGTCACCAAACTCGTTTCCACGGAACAGACGCAGGGCGTCGACTTCGTAACGCCGGACCATGCAGCTGGAGTCCGGCGGCCGCAACGAGGACGGACGGAACCGAGTTATAAACCCCGCGAGGACTACCATCCCCCGGGTGTGCCTTTCCAGAGCGTCACCCAGTACAAACAGGATTACAAACCCTGGCCCATCCCGAAGAAGGATAACTTTCCCTGGATTAGTAACGGAGGTAAAGGCGGCACTTTAACGGATAGCCCGGTGAACGGTTACTTTAACGGCACGAGTCAGCCGCGGGCGGACAGACAGGAGCGCAGCGGCAGCGGCAGGCAGAGAGGAGATCAGCTCAGCTCATACAGGTACGAATGCTCTTCATGCTGGGCTTTCTCTCATGGGAGCTGTTCTTCAGCACCACTCATCCACTGCAACACACTCACACACTTCTCAACAGTTTGTCATCACCATCATGAGTAAATAAATACATTTTACTGCGATCCAACAAAGAAGGTTATGGGATTTATTTTATTTGAGCAAATTTAGTTAGTAAAACATATAACAAAGACAAAAAATCCATATAATAATACTATATGGATGAATTTCTTTATTATATTTTATTTTAGCAAAGTAAAACATTACAAAAGACAAACATTCAATATTATATTATATTACTACTACTACTGCTGCTAGTAACAATTGATGATTTTTTAAATATTTGTAATCTATATTTTATTTCCTTTTAGCCTGTTTAGTAAGTAATAACATATTACAAATACAAAAATACCATATAATAATTATATATGGATAAATCTCAAATCTTTGTAGTCTATATATATATATATATATTTTTTTTTTAATTCTGAAGTGAGTAAAAACATTGCAAAGACAAAAAAATCTGTGTATTATTATTATTATTATTAATCTATGTTTTATTTTATTATTTTATTTTGGCCTATTTAGTAAGTAAAAACACTACAATTATGAAAAAATTCATAAAAATAATATTATTTGTCCATATTTCTTATCAATTTTTATTAATCAAATAGACTACTATACTAACATAAAACATGTAATAATAATAATATCACTTATTATTGGTATTTATCTAATATATATATATATATATATATATATATATAAACATGTAATAATAATAATATCACTTATTATTGGTATTTATCTAATATATATATATATATATATATATATTATCTAATTTAATACACTAGAACCTAAAACAGTGGTATTTATCTCTGAAATATCATGTTCACTATAGTCTCCAAAAAGGAATAGTTGTCTTTCTTTGATGCCGGTTTACTGTGGTGCTGTAACGGGACTGATGTGGTTGTAACGATTGTGCATTGCAGTGATTTTCAGACAGTGTGGTCACTGGTCACTGTCATGCATATTTCATCCAACAGCTCATGAAAGAGCGGAATTAATCTAAAACAACTACATAAACAGTTATCTGAGGGGGAACAGAATGCATGTTCATCAGCCTTTGGTTGAAAGATGTGATCTGTGAACGTATAAAACCTTCACTTCCATTGATTTATTCACCGAAAACTTTCCTAGATGCTTTCATTCTGCATGTAGATTTTTTTCATTTCTAAACTTTGCATATGTATGTACAGATATGGATAGTGAAAATAATTTTTCATACAGGTTATGCTGAAGTAAATCTTTATGGTGGGCACCTGTTGCTATGGTTTTTCAGCATGACGTTAACTCAGCCTGACATGTGCTGCTCTTATCTGCAGCTCCTCAGGACTCCATCTCTGTTTTTACCTGTCTGTCTTTCTCTGTATCTGTCTGATACATTTGATCTCTCTCTGGAGTCAGGAAGGAGTACCAGCCGTGGTCTGGAGCTCGGCCGTCAAAGCCTGCCCACAAACGGCCCACCATCCTGGGTACAGGTGCTGACGAGCCCCCGCCAGAGACCAGCTACCAGGCCGCCTTCAGCCCGGACTCACACAGGACAGAGATCAGCATGAAACCAGAGGTGAGTGAGACGACAGATCAGAGATCGTTTCATAGTAGTGAAAGCATATGCATGAATTATTCATGTTGAGCCTTTTGAAGTGGGTTTACCTTTCTAGCTAGATTAACTTTTTGGGCAATTGAAGAGTTGAAGTCATATTTAACCCAGAATAGGTAAGCAGAAATATTGATTTGCATAACCTTTTAGGTTAATCTGTGAAATCAAGCGTAATGTGCAGTTAAATCACGCTGGTTATTTAACACTGATCCCTTTCTGGGACAAATGCGAGTTTTAGGTCTGGTAAAAGTTGTGCTCTCTGTATCGACTAGCGCTGATTCATTGAGGTTATGTAATCAGTGACCCGCTCCTGTGCCCCATTACGTCAATCTAGCCTGTGCCCGTCCTCTCAATAATAATCAAAAGTAACTGTGAAACTGGTGCTGAATCTTTTGCCCGTCAGTCAGTGAAGTATGCACTAATTGTGATTCATTTAGTCCTAATTACTCTCTTGGTAACCCATGCATGCTGTCAAACCTCATGCTTGACCAGTGAGGAGAGAAACAGACAGCTGAAACACAATGCCAGCAGTCTGAGGCAGAATTGGCAAGAAATTTGTGCCTCTGGTGTCAGGCTTAAATTCCTCTGTTATTGAGTTGTAACTTTTCTTTTCATAACCTATGCGCTGACCCACTTTTTTCAGATAGATCCACTAGTCTGGTGTTTTCTGATGATGATTGAACAAGTCTGAAATCCCTCTATAACAAAGATGCCAAAACCAGGGACCGCGGGACAACCATTGATTTTTTTTATTATTATTATTTGTATTTTTTTGCATTGAAAAATGCCTTGAAATTTTTTTGTTTTTTTATAAAAAAAAAATTAATAATAATAATATATATATATATATATATATGTGTGTGTGTGTTTAAAAATGTTTCCAATGTAATTTATTTTAATATAATATGTTTGGATATAATGCATTTTACTTCGGCCCATGACCCTCAAGCTAGTTTGATTTTTGGCCCTTCATATTAAAAAATTTCGGCACCTCTGCTCTATGAATAAAAAGGTTTTTAACAGATACAATTGATAACGCTGAACATGCATTGGCATACTATGTAGTGGAGAAGCAAGCATGTGCTCTCATTCAAATCATATCAAAAGGACCATTTTTCTACTAAATTATTTTTAAAGCGATAGTTCTCCCAAAAATGAAAATAACCCCATGATTTGCTCACCCTCCAGCCATCCTAGGTGTATATGACTTTCTTCTTTCAGATGAATACAATCGGAGTTATATTAAAAAAATGTCCTGGCTCCTCCAAGCTTTATACTGGCAGTGAATGGGGGTCGAGATTTTGAAGCCCAAAAAAGTGCATCCATCCACCATAAAAAGTTCCCCACACGGCTCTGGGGGGTTAATAAAGGCCTTCTGAAGTGAATCAATGCATTTGTGAAAGAAAAATATCCATAAAACTTTATAAACTGTAATCTCTAGCTTCCGATAACTGTCGTACACGCATTCACGAGAGAGTGGCGTTCCAGCGGATGACGTAGGCATAGCGCAAGTCATCAGTCTATATCTGTGAGGCTGATTTTGTGGGTTTATATTTTGTGTGTGTGTGTAAGTGTGCTGGATAGAGTCTAGTACACTGGAGACTTGCGTGACTAAGCCAGCTGGCATTATTTTGGCCGTCTAAAGGTTTAACTCACACATAACCCATCCTGCCCTCCTGATCTCCCTCCAGCTGATGCTTTGAATTTAATTGTAAAACACAGACTGACTGTCCACTATTCTTAAACACTTGTTTGAGAGAGAAAACCAGCTGATCATTCTTAATTCTTTAAGTGGTCTTTTTTTCATTTGACCTTTTTTTGTATAGTTCATCAGTTCATTACAAGCTCAGTGAAACCAGGAAAACGTAAGCATACACTGTTTGCTATTGGAAATTATAGAGTATTTATTAGAGCAGAGTTCAAAAATCAAACTTATTTGAGGGCCGTGGGCCTAAAGTAAATGTTGCATTATATCCAACTGTATTGTATTAAAATGTATTACTATTAAATTTTTTTTTTTGTAATATTAATTCATTAATTAATAATTTCTTAAATTTTAATAACTTTTTTAAATTATTATTACTTTGCTGATGAACTGATGAGTTGGATCAGTGTTAGATAAGACAATCCCAAATGAGCAGGGTTCCAGGAGCAGGACTGAGAAACACAATTACAGAGATCAAACCTGCACAGGTTTCGCAGTGAATAAATCCCAGGGTTTCATACGTTATAATGTGATCTTAAATGACAGTTAAACATCTTATATAAGCTTTCAAGTTGCTCCCCAGACAGTTTCCCATACATCAGCGCTATGTCCCTGATGATGGTCAGCAGCTTATGACAAATGACAGACAGAGACCAACGAGGCCATGTCCAGAATGGAATATTACTGTACTGTAAAAACTGCAAAAGATATTCCATACAATATATCGTTTTAATTATAAAAAAAATAAAAATAAATAAATATATA